AACTGCGGCTTCTATCACTGAGTTCATTTATAACCCCGACTCCGGCGTTACCTTTGACGCTTGGTTCAAAAGTTGGGAAGACATATTCCGCATGGAATTTGCCAAGGCCGATGATGTATGGAAGGTGCACCTGCTTTTACACAAACTGGGCACTAGAGAACACGAGCGGTAAGCGGATATCATTCTGCCAAAACACTTTCGTGACTTCACTTTCGATGAAACCGTCCGGCGCCTGTCAGAGACTTTCGGCGAAAACTCATCCTTGTTCAATATTCGGTACCAGTGACTCAAGCTGGCAAAAAACGAAACAGATGATTTTCTAACACTCGCCAGTACTGTCAATCGCGAGTGTGAACGGTTCAAGCTCCGAGAGTTAACCGATGACCAATTCAAGTGCCTCATCTTTGTGAGCACCTTGCAGTCACCTCGTGATGCTGAAATCTGGACCAGTCTGCTTTCAAAAATTGAACAAGGCCCGAAGTCCACTCTGCAGACATGGACGGCCGAGTGTCAACGGCTGAAGAATCTCAAGCATGATTCTGCGATCGTGGAGCATCCCAGTGCCTCGTTTGCCACCACCAACACTCATGCTGTCACTCGGACTAAGTCGATCTTGCCATAGAAGTCCCATGATCCTTTACCTAGAAAACCACCATCAGCGTGCTGGAAGTGTCGTGACTAGCATTTTGTTCGCTTCTGTCTATTCAAGAAGCATGTTTGTCACAAATGCCATAAACGTGGGCATAAAGAAGACCACTGTCCGGCGGGCCAACCATCTAAATTAAGGGCAAGCGACAGGAAGGCAAGAAGTTCTAAACGCCCCTCATCTTACTGTGGCCTAAAGTCCAACTCAACCCTAGCCACATTCTAGAAAAAAATTGAGGCAAGGCGGAAATACCTTACGGTTACTATCAATGGCAAACCTGTCTGCCTCCAATTTGACACAGCCTTGGACATCAGCATCATCTCCAAGCGCACATGGCAGAGGATTGGACGGCCTCCGATGACCACATCGGACAAAAAGGCCATGAATATTTCTGGCAGATTTCTCCGGCTCATAGGTGAGCTTGATTGTGACGTTTCCTTTGGGGGCACTCATTTCAAGGGAACATACTACATTACCAATCGTCGAAAGTTTGACTTAATTGGCCTTGATTGGATCGAGAAACTCGGTCTCCTAGACTTGCCTTTTAACCGCTTTTGCAATGACGTGCAGTCAACTTGGCCCAGTCCCGCCAAATCAAATCAGCTGACAACAAATCTGATGTCAACGCACCCACTTCCTGCTAAGGTGCCTAAGAAAAAGAAGGAGGAGGAACGAGGAGAGAAAGTGCCAGCGGCTTCCGAGCCCCATTAAACACCTGGTTGGTCAACTCACAGCAGCGTACGCAAAAGACATGGTGCCCCAACAAAGCCCTCATCCTTTTCTTCCACGACTGCCGCCGACTCCCTGAACTTCTCCACGGGATCCCAGTGCTAAAAAGGCACGAACTTCAGCCTCTAGGCGACCAAGCTGGAAAAGAATGTGAACGGTTCTGTCACAAGTGAATCCGCAACTCAAATCTTACGATTTGTCTTCAAACAGGGGAGTGTTAGGAGAGGCTCAACAATTAGCATGGAAGCAGTAAGTAGCCGCGTCCACAATGGGCTATCGATCAGACTATGCGCGAGCTTACACATCGTGCTACACAATCAATCAATGGTTTAAATTTCTAGGTAAATTCACTCTCTGAACCAACAGCCAATAATACCGTCGACTTTTTCAGCAGAGAATCT